TAAAAATCAGTGAGGGCTGGAATACAGCTCAGGGGTGGAGTACATGCTTAGCATTCTCAAGGCCCTGGGTTCGATCTCCCAGCACGGAAGAAACAAAAAGTAACAGCAATTTGGAGAAATTCATCTGATTGTGCTCAGCTCAGCATTTTTAATAGGTGATGTGTTCGCAGATATCACCTTATTATTTTAAGTTCAACTGATTAATTGAAAATATTAATTCAGTAAGTCAACACAATTATCTGGAAGTGGTTCCAAGTTTAAGACATTTTTCAAATGAATAGTTGTGGGTTTGTGAGGGCTATCATAGCACTAGAAAAATCAAATACAGCTACAAATTAGCAGTATTTGTTAGTTGAAATTATAGACACTGAAAGATAGTAAGTACATTGTGTCTTACTGCTAACTGGGAACACCCTACCGCTATCAGGCTTAGACTGAGCAATTAGATAAAAATATGGGAGCAACATAATTTTAAATGTTAGAGTAGCCACACTGTTTAAAATAGAAACAGGTGAACTTAATTGCAATAATATATTTATATCTATCCAACATATTATCATTTCAACATATAATCAATTTTTTGTTGTTTTCTGTTTGTTTCTTTCTTTCCTTCTTTTTTGTGGTACTGGGGCTTGAACTCAGGACCTTGTGCTTGCTAGGCAGACACTATATCACTTGAGCCACTCTACCAGCCCATAATCAATTGTTTAGATACTGAGATATTTTATATTTTTCCATACTAATTCTCAAAATCTTATGTATAAATTCCACACATAACAGCCATGTGTCTCCGACTATGTACAGTACTAGACAGTACAGAACTATGGATCACAGCAGGCTGTGTGGACTGCAACATCACTCAGATCACAAAATTGAAGGATATAGACCAAAACAGGGAACATTTAGCTCTATATTCTCATGTTTGAAGTAAAATGACAGTTCAACTAAAAAGTGATCATCAACCAGTAATAGCCTATTTTAGCAAAAAATAACCACTTGGCAATCCTTAAAGTCCTGTGCAACACTGGTCTTATAACAAGTGTGTTCAGTTCAGTTTTACTAGTCTTGCTGCAATTCTAATTTGGAATTATCTAGAACCTCCCTCTTTCCTCTCCATATCCATACACACACACTTCACTCCCCTAAAATGTTTCAAAGTTATCCATAAAGAACCTACTTCCAGGGCTGGTAGAGTGGCTCAAGTGGTAGGTCACCTGCCCTGAGTTCAAACCCCAGTACCACCAAAAACAAACAAAAAAAAAAAAAAAAAGAACCTACTTGCAGGTGCTTTTCACAAACTGAACAAATTTAAAATCTACCCATATGTGAGCGATGCTGAACACACTGAAGGATTTTGGAAAGGGAGTGAATGGAAATAAGATTTAGAACTAACAGTGTGATACAATGTTACAGGACTCGTAAATTGAGAATGTTCCACACAAGTCTTAAACCAATGTTATAACTGCCAATTTTAAAAGCACAGAGGCCAAATACCCTTCAATCACTTAAGCAGTGATTCAACTAAACCATGTAAACAGTTTAATGCTAAGGTAGGGAAAGGAAAGCATCTTCACTGTGGACCAAAATAATAAAATCAAGAAAAGCTCCCTATGCAGAGGAGGCAGAGTGGCTCAAGTGCCAGAGGGTCTCTCAGGCCCTGAGTTGAAAACCCATACCACCAAAATGAAAAAATAACTTCCCTATGTGCCCTCTTGTCTTTATCCTCCGTTTTGCCAGAAGAACCACTGCAAACCATTCTGCAAATACTTAATTGGGGCAAACTTTTCCTTGTTCTTTCTAATTTGTGTGGAAGTATGCAAGTGTGTGTGTGCCGGGATTGAGCCCAGAGCCTTGCACATGCTAGTCACACACTCTAGCACTGAGCAACACCCCCAGCCTCAGTATTTCCTTTTTCTTAACTAACCAAATTTTCCTTTGTTAGCTGCACATCGGTGGTTCACGCCTGTAATCCTAGCTACTCAGGAGGCAGAGATCAGGAGAATCAAAGCTTGAAGATAACCCAGGCAAATAGTTCTGGAGACCCTATCTTGAAAATCCATCACAAAAAAAGGGCTGAGAGCACCTGCCTCCCAAGTGGAAGGGCCTGAACACAAACCCCAGTAATGCCAAAAAAAAAAAAAAAAAAAGGCCCCCCCCCCCCCGCACTTTGTTAGTCTATTAACAGTACCTATGATAAATTTAAAATGGCAAGTTCTGCTTGTGAAAGACAAATTGCTGGACTGGGTGCATCTATACTCTGTAGGGTGGAGCTGGAGCGACTATTCTAGTTCAATAGGACAAAGTACATCAGCATTCAAGTTTAAAACTCTGGCTAAACAAACTCTGCACTAACAGGATGTTTAATAGTTTATTTTACCAAATGAAATTATGCAGCTACCATGTATTTACCAGGGCTTAAAATGTAAACTTATTGAGGAAACCAAAATTACAGGTCAGTAGTTCTCAGCCCTTTTATGCTTTTTAAAAAGTAAAATGAAACTGGGAGTTGTAATCCACGACTGCAATCCCAGCACTCAGGAGGCTGAGCAGGACAACTGTGAACTCATCACTTCCAAACTTAAAAAGTAAAATGAATTAAATATTGTAATTCTTGCAGTTCAAATGACGTCTTGAGGCCTCCTTCAAATAATGGAAGAAACTACTGAAAAAGTGGCAAACCATTTGTTAAGTCTTTAGGCACACATCTCCAAGAAAATAGACACAAAACCACATGAATGCCAGGTACATACTAGTATTTTACGTGCACACAAACACACAAAAAGATGTGAAACACACCAAGATAACAAGGATGATCTCTGGTAGTTATACTTTAAGCGTTTTTTTTGTTTTTAACCTTCCATGCTATTTTTAGGTTTTCTGTGTTTTATACAATGACCATGCAGTCTTCAAACTCGGAGGAAAAAAAAGCCCCCCCCCCAAAGCCCACAGGCAAGTGGTTTAAAGTGGAGCCAATCAATCTGGGATTATATTGGATTGGCATGCCATAATCCCTAAGCATTCAGGGTCAGGTGCAGTTCGAAGCCGAGGCAAATAGTTTGCAAGACCCTGAAAATACCCAATACAAAAAAGGGCTGGTGGAGTGGCTCAGAGTGGTAGAGTACCTGCCTAACAAGTGTGAGACCCTGAGTTCAAACCCCAGTATCACCAATAAAACGAAAAAAGAAAAAAAGCATCAGGGCCCTTGAAGACAGGGTCTTGTCTTATCTAGAACACGCTCAACTACAACGCTGTACTCAGATGTACAGTCCATATTGCACACATTACTAGGTGGAGCATGCTACAAAACATGACTTCTTCAGAAAAACAGGGATTTCGAACCCTTACAAAACAACAGTATAGCAAAAAAAAAAAAAAAAGAAAGATGCGCACAGAATAATAGTCACAAGGTGGAAAAAATGTAAGTATGTCTTGATCCAAAATACAAAATGTAAACCTTCTACTAAATGTCGCTGAATTATTTCACTTCTTTAAAATGGCTCACTTTGTGTCAACTCAATTTGTAAAAAGTAAACCTGGTGAAGTTAATTTCTAAACACACCAGGTTGAATAAATATTGTTTATATACTGCTTTGCCCCCAAGCAATCCTAATTTTCTTTTTGTTTCCTTAATTCTAGCGCAACAAGTAAGTATCCATAGGCAGTGGCGGGTGGATACAATGTAACAGTGTATCAAGGAGTCCTGCCTTCAAAGCGATTACTGCAGGAGCCCATGCCCAACTCTGCGGAGAGGGGGCCGCGAAACAGCAGCAAGAAGGGACCTGGGACGGGAGGGGGGCGGGGGGGAGCCCAAGCAGGTGAGAAGTAGGATCGGATCGGGATCTACCCGGCTCGGTCTCATCACACCTTTAATCCCCGATGACAGCACAAAGCCAGCCCTCCCTTCTCTTGCTTAAGTGTACACAGATTGAAAATGGACAGAAATCCAACTATTTACACTGCAAGGCTAACACAGGCAAACCAAATGCAACAGTTGGTGTGCTTGGAGGGCAGACGGCGGTTCACCCATTTTACTTAGTACAGACTTCTCAAAATGCTTAATAAAATGCTTTTTAAATGCCAGCTGGAGACCTGGCCCCCATCAAGTCGCTCTCAGATATGGACTGGCCTTGCCAGGTTGGCACTGCAGCACCGGCGCAGGTGACCCGACCAGGCCGCGACAAGACCTGGGCCTGCGCCCTGCCCACCCGAAACTGTTTACACACTGACCACCCGGGCCACCTCCACACCCCGGCAGGCGGGGCCTCTTGGTCCAGGCGACGCCAGCTAGTAAACACAAGCCGGGGGACCAGCGGTCAATGGCAGGTGGGCGGCGCGGCCTCACCAGACAAAGCTGGGCGCCCCATCCCAGAGCCCTGGGCCTTGAGCGCCCGCCCCGAGGCCCGGGCCGCGCCGCCACCCCCCTCGCGGGTCCTCGGCGCCCGACCGAGGGACACCGGCCGGCCGCACCCCGCGCGCCCGCCTGTCCAACCGCCACTGCCGCCTGAGCGCGCAGGCTGCCCAACTGCCGTCCCGGCCCAACCAACACAGGCAGGGGAGGAGAGGTGCGCGCGGCCGGCGGAGCGTGCGAGCCAGCCGGGGGTCGCCCCGGGGAGGCCGTGCGCAGGCAAGGCCAGGGCGAGGAGGCGCCGAAGCCATCCCTGAACGCAGCAGCGCCCGGAGGGCCTCCTGGAAGGGGATTTACCCCTTTCCCCTTGGAAGGTGCAGATGGTTTGACCCCCCACCCCGAGCGAGGTGCCTTGTCCCAGCCCCGGCTGGACTGTACCATCGGGCGGTGCCGCCGGGATTTCTCCCCCCCACCACTACCATCATTTCCCCCCCACACCCGGGTCCGCGGTCGGTTGGCCCCGGCCGGGCTCTGAGACGCGGAAAAAGCTGGGCGCCATTTTGGGTGGGACTAAGCAAAGACGAAACACCCTCCCAGTCGATGGGGTACTCTGAACCCTGGTTTATCCGGTTCCCTTAATCCTTTAGGTACTTACACGACGTTGGGTGAGGGGAGCTGGAAGATCAGCGGGTCCCCGATCCTCTCTCCCTAGGGGTGATGGAAATCAAACCCCCCCCGCCGCCTCCAGGTGGTTCTTCCCGCCGCAGAGTGGGAGCAGCATAAAAGGCGGGGTCTTATTAGCATAATCTGCCTGGCAACCTGATCTCGACGTTACATGATTGGTTAAACTCTGTAAACCCCATGCCGTGCCTAGAAACAAGACATGCTGGGCCGAACTGACAGGCCCAGATTTAAGAGTCATGACGAAGATCCTGAGACGCTAATTCACTCGGCAGAGAAGCCAAAAGGAGATTCACACAATGGCCCAATGACGGAAGGCCTCTTTATTTCGTGCTCGGCTGTTCGTGTAAAATCCAATCGAAGAGCCGGTCTCCGGCGGCGCTGGCCTGCGTTCGTACTCTAAGCCAATCAGAAAGCCCGACTCTTCGCATTCAGGGTCAAGCCCCCGCTGAGAGCTGGCGCTGCAGAAGAGGGAAAGCGTCCACCGCTGCCCGGGTGTCCGCCGCCGAGGGCCTCCCCAGCACCGGGGTGACCACGGGGCACGCGTCCCCCGCGAGCTTCCCGCTCCGGCGCGGGTTGCCTCCGAACCCTCCTGCCTGCCGGGCGCGGTGGAGCGCGCCCCGCGTCCCGACACGCCTTCCCCGACCGCGGTCTCCAGGCCTCCCGGGTGCGACCACCGCGGCCCATCCGTGTGTCTGACCCGTGGGACTCTGATCTGTCCCTGCCAAGCCCTGGAGCGCCTTCACCACATCTGCCCTTTTTGCCCCTCTCGGTTCTGCAGGAGGAAATTACTGAGAAGCATTGGTCAACGCTGGTTAGCCAAGTGACGAGCTCACTCTCTTAACCTGGGGCTTCCGCGTCCCTCCCTGCCCTAAGATCGCCTTCTCCAAGAGCGACCAAGTGCGAGGAATGAGCTCAGTCTCTGGAATGGTCAACCAACTCCAACTCCCCACTGGCAACAAATGTCCGAGACCTGGGACCTTCCTTGTACCTTCAGAGACTAGTTTTCCCGTCTGTCACGTCTACCTTGCTATGCCTATTCGAAGATTAAAGGAGATCAGACTTTACGACTGAGTAAAGTTCTGTCTGGAACTGAAGTGTTAATGATATAAAAAAATTTTTTTTTAAACTACAAAATGGCTAAATTATTGGGTAACCACGAAAAAAAAATATTGCTAAGCAAAAACTTGGGAATAGGGCTGGAGACATGGCTCAGGTGGTAGAGCACAAAGCCCTGAGTTCAAACTCCAGTACCACCAAAAAAAACCTTTCACATAAAAGATTTGGGAATAAAAAAACATCCACAGGGAAAAACGAAAATTCATTCAGTTACATTTTTTGCTGTTTTGTTTATTTAAATAACTAAACACAGTGGAGAGAAAGGGGAGCATTCTGTTCATAAACATTTGAAAACATGACTACCTTGTGAGTACCATGACTCATACACAGCCGGTGTTGTGGTCTTCCATAGAGCCTTGTGCAGGCAGCGTTAAACTTGGAATAAAGACTAGCAGTAATGAGCCTTGCTGAATTTATTTTATTTGCTTATTTATTTGGCAGTGCTGGGGTTTAAACTGAGGGCCTCATGCTTGCTGGGCAAGCAGTCTACCACTTGACCCACTCTGCCAGCCCTGTTTTTTGTCATGGGTTTTTTGATATAGGGTCTCAAGATCTATTTGCCGGGGTGGCTTTGAACCACCAGTGCCCACCAAGCCTTGTTGAATTTAACTGAAAAGAAAATATAAAAGGGGGGGGGGTGCTGAGGAGGCAGAAATGTCATTTGCTCTTCTCTGAGTATATGGACATGGAAGCCATTTGTTCTGTGATTATATTGGTTAAGAAAGACACTAAAATGAGCCCGGTGCCAGTGGCTCATGCCTGTAATCCTAGCTACTCAGGAGGCAGAGATCAGGAGGATCATGGTTCCAAGCCTGCCCGGGGAAATAGTTCATGAGACCCTATCTTGAAAAAGCCTTTACAAAAACAGGGCTGGTGGAGTGGCTCAAAGTGAATGCCCTGCATTCAAACCCTAGTATCAAGAAAAAAAAACAAAGACACTAAAATGGGTCATAAATAAAGAACACCAAAGGTTGGATAGTTCCTTCTGTGGCCTGCCAAGCCCTGCACCCTGGTCTGCTAGTGAGAATTAATCTTTTGAGATTTAACCTTATTACATCTGCTCTGATGGATTGGAGCCTCTGAGGTCAGCGATCATGGGGTGGGGCAGTCTGGAATAGAGAGCCCAGTTACCCTCATGGACTTAGAGAAAGGTTCTCAAACTTTGAAGTGCACAAATATTACAAGGAGACACCACTCCACTGATTTTTATTTTTTATGTATGAAGATGGTTGGAGTGAATCTCAGACATCTGCTTTTTTTGTGCCTTTAAATATTTTTTTAATTTATGCGCAATAAAATTGACTTAACAGGGAGTATTTGTGGAACATGTACAGGTACCATCACTATTCTAAACAATGAGGAAAGAAGAGGAAACAGTGAAAAAGCCCCTGCCCTAATGGAGCTTCCATTCTAGTGGAGGCAAGAGAAAGAAACCAGTGGCTGGAGGCATGGCTTGGCTGGTGGAGTGCTTGTCTTAGTAAGCACAAGGCCCAGAGTTCAAACCCCAGCACTGCCCAAAGCAAGCAAGCAAGAAAGAAAGAAAGAAAGCCAGGAGATAAGTGCTATAAAGAGAGTAAGGCAGGGAAATGCAAAGCAGCGGTAATGCTGACGGTTTAAATATGGTGTCAAGAATGCTAATGTGAGTTGTGACATAGATGATTATAAAAAGAAGAAAAGACCAGCCATGCAAAAATAGCAAATGAGGCTAAAAAGTTTGACATGCACATATTCACTCATTCTTTCACTGAAAGAATATTAACTAGTGTTATATATACCAGGCACTGTACTCCAGTGCTTTGGGATTCATCAATTAACCCTCTGGACAAAAGGGAAAAAAATCCACAAAAATCTATGGCATTATGGAAGTTGACTGTAACACATTGAGAGTGACAAGGGCCAGAGCTGCTACAGCAAAGGGCAAAGGGTACAGTGATGAGGACAGCTTAGGGGAGTAGGAAGGGTGCAGCTGGTATTGAAGTTAAATTTAAGTGCTTTTTAAGCAAGGAAATAAAACATTTTTTTTTTAAAAGATAACTCTGTCTGCTCTAGGGACTTATAGAGGGAGGGAAAGAAGTGAGAGACAAGGAGTATGTCCCAATATGCTTTAAGAAGGAAATGACAGTGTCCTGGACAGACACAAGAACATAAATGGGAGAGTGTATGCACACCAAGTGTGTTCTGGAGGTGAAGTCACAGAACCTGCAAATGGATAGGATAAGGAACAGGGTGGTGGCTGCTGGTAATGACAAGAGAAAGGTCAAGAGTGATTCAAAATTGAGAATGCGAGTGCCCAAGTAAAGCTGGTGCCTCAACTGAGACTGGGCAGAGAGGTACAAAAACTAACAGTTCTGTTAGACTTATGTTAGGTTTGAAATATCTTTTCAGTATCAAAGAAACATACTGAAAAGGCATCTGAGAGTCAAGAGAGAGATGGGACTAGAAATTTTAGGATTCACTGGATTTTAAATTATATTTAAATATATAGGGCTGAGGATGCAGTTCCTAATAGATAACTCACGTAAATATACAGGGTTAGAGAAGTTGGGCATGGTGGCTCGTGCCTATAATCCCAGCTACTTGGGAGGTGAGATAGGGAAGATTGAGTCAAGGCCACCACAGATTAAAAAGCTAGTGAGACTTCATCTCAAAGAACAAGCCTATAATAAAGGGAGTGAGCTTGCTCACTTCATATATGTATACTGTATACATTTTGAAATTCTGACATGCACCCCCCCATACTATTTATGAATCCTAAATAAATAAAAGAACAAGCCAAGTGTGATATGTGCCTGTAATTCCACCTAAATGGAGGCATAGATAAGAGGATAAAGGTTTTATGCCAGTCCCCAGCAAAAATGCCAGACCTTACCTGAAAAATAAAGCAAAATGGGCAGAGGATGTACTTGAAGTAGTGGAGTACCTGCCTAGCAAGCATGAGACCCCAATAATATTGGGGTCCAAACCCCAATATTATCAAAACAATAATAATAAAATTAACAGAGGTCTAACTAGGTGCAACCATCTATTGAAGATTCAGAGAGAGAGAGAGTGTGTGTATATGAGGAAGATAAGAGTATCTTGGAATGAACTCTCAGGAGCTGCTGAATTTAGAGGTCAGTGACAGAGGGCAGTCATCAAAAGAAGTCAAGAGCTGGCATGGTGGGGTATAATCTCAGCTGTTCAGAGGAGACTGAGGCAGGAAGACTGATTGAGCCCAATTGTTTGAGATCAGCCTGGACAACATAGTGAAACCATGTCTCAAAAAAATTTTTTTAAAAAGAAAAAAAAAAGGCAGAGCAGGTCAACCAGGAAATGGTGGTGCCTGAGAAGTGAAGGGACAAAAATGTGAGGGAGTTGTCAACTGCACCAATGGTTGCCAAGAGGCTAAGAGGAAGACAGAGCACCTGTGGACCTGGAGGTGTGCAAGCTGATAACAGCAGCCTGGAAGGAGGATGAGGAAACAGTAGGAACTGCCTGCAGAAAGGGAGAATCACCTATAGCAGATAATACACAAAAACAACAATCAACTAAAGTAGCCAGGTAGGGTGGTGCATGCCTGTAATCCAGGGAGGTAGAGATAGGAGGATGGCTAGTTTGAGCTACTGTAGCATGACCCTGTCTCCAAAAACAAAACAAAAAATAACTAATGTGCAATACATTGCTATTTATTTGTCTATCTGTTTATTTATCAATCTACTTATTTTGCAGTACTGGAGTTTGAACTCAGGGCCTACACCTTGAGCCACTCCACCAGCCCTTTTTTTTTTTTTTTTTGATGGGTTTTTTCAAGATAGGGTCTCTCGAACTATTTGCCCAGGCTGGCTTCAAACCGTAATCCTCCTGATCTCTGTCTCCTGAGTAGCTAGGATTACAGGTGTGAGCCACCGGCACCCTGCTGTACATGCTATTTAACCACTAGGCTAGTACAAGGGTGCCTGCCTAGTATGTGAGATCCCCCTGGGGATCCCCAGCAGCAAAAAACCCCAAACTAATCCCCTCCAAGTCACTGGGGAAGAAAGGAAAGTACACAGTTCCAGGAAAAGCAGAAGAATGCTGGAGATGAAGAGCATTTGGCAGCAGTCGTAGTAATTATCCATCTTCTCAAGGAAGAATTATCAATGAACACTAAAAGTAATAGGTGAAACTCTGATGCT